AGAGGGCCAATATGTGTGTTTAGGTCTCCGGCTATGATGAAGATATCCGTCTTTGGTGCCTTGAGAAGAACCTCATGTAGGTTGTGATAGAAAGCATCTTTAACTGTATCCGGGCTACAGTCTGTGGAAGTGTATGCAGAAACCATGAATAAGTACTGTTCCTTTCGCCTGTGTCTGGTCGGCCATCTATCGGGATCAAGTTCAATAGGCCAGCCTTGGCCCTGGCGCTCAAGGCAGTACCAGTGTCTGCTTGAATAGACGCTGTTGCGAGAGAATCCACAGAAAGGCGTAGTTGAAACGCTTCTTTTAGATTGGAAGGAGACGTTAATCGAATCACCGAGCTCGAATCCTGAAGTTTTCTCGAGAGGCAATACACATCAGTCCCTATACTTTTGAGCATACAAGCCAAACCTGTTTGTGGTCCCATACGCATTAGTTTTCTGACGTTGAACGAAGCGAGTTTGAACGCCAAGTGAGGCCGGAGGAACGGAGCGGTCGGCTCCGAATGACAAGGCATTCCTGAGACGGATATCAGGGAGGACATCTTCAAGCTACAATATGAACCTATGTCAGTGGAGCCATTCGAGACAAGACACTTGAAAAATGGAGGTGTTGTGTGGGGGGCTGGTGGAAGTTTTGCGTGCAGATTTTACGACGAGAATACACCTTGACGTGTGTGATCGCTTGTGCACCGCTGTGACCTTGGAAGGTCGATGGGTAGAGGTCAAACGAAGTTCAGTCTCCTGGTCCTCCAGGTTGGGGGTTCGCCTAGAATTGGCGTTTCAGTCGATAAAAAGCGGTGGAGGAGTAATCGATCCAAGTAAGTGGGCATCCACTTCGTCGCACCCGCTGACTTGCGGTTACGTTCTTGTTAGAACTAAAGGATTTGGACGAGAACCCTAATCGTTCTCCTGCTTAGTGGCTAGACACCCTAGCAGTACTCGTCCACCATACCGCAATGCATACACAAACAAAAAATAATTACATACTGCATCGGTTGACGCGCTGAATAATCAGGATCGCGTTGCCCATTGCATCGAGTGGGGTGGTTAGTGATAAGTGGGTTACTGCTCACATCCCAACCTTTATTCAACTATTTTTCATCCGTACCCAACTCATTCCCTTAACAACTTCTTCCAACCTGTAATAGTCCCTCAAGCAATTTGGATGTCGCTCGCCAAAGGTCGTTGCCAAATAGCACTAAGTAATTTACCACGAAATGGATTGTAGATTCTAAAACCTCATCAATCACTTAATCTGGGGGCTTTGAACGTGAGGACTTTGATGCAGCTAGGTCAACAAGCTTGTCTGGCTCGTACAATGGAATCCTTAGAAATCGATATTTGCTGTGTCGGAAACTCGAATCCAGGATCCTACTACTGATCGTTACGAAAACCACCGCGGGATCAGTGTGATCTCGATCGTCATCAAAGTGCTAGCTTCGGTTATACTTCGACGTCTGACGCCTTTAAGAGAGACCAACATCCGTGAGCAGCAAGTCGCATTCCGGCCTGGCCGTGGATGTATTAATCAGATTTTTACGTTGCTTCAGATCCTTGAGCTGCGTCGTACCCATCGTCGGACAACGATCGGAATGTTCCTTGACCTGAATGGAGCCTTCGGCTCAGTTGACCGCGAAGCTCGCTTCTTCGAAAAGGAATGCCCCAGCAGTACGTTAACCTACTTAGGTCGGTGTACTCATATACCTCAGGTCGTGTAAGGGTCTACAACGAACTAAGTAGGCCTACCTAGTATGCCCTCTTTCGCCATTCCTGTTCAATTTCGTCGTAAACGAAAGACTGGAAAGAGCACTAAGGGGACTCCAAAACGTAGGTATTGAATGAACAGCTGGAGAAAAGCTATGCGATTTGGAGTACGCCGATGATATCGTCTGTCTGTTCGAATGTATGGAGGACGCGCGAAGCGCACGTGATAGATTAACAAATGCAGTAGCCACATTCGGTATGTGCTTTCTACCTTCAAAGTGCAGTGATGCTGCAGGACTGGGTTTCGTCTACTCCCACACTGACACTGAATGGCCAGGATTTAGTTATGGTGGATTACTTTTCCCATTTAGGTAGTTGCGTGACTAATGACGGTAGTGCAGCAAATGAGATAACCGCCCGCATTTCCAAGGCTCGAGAAGCATACGTAGGACTGAAACACCTTTGGTGTAGACGCGACTTTTCACTGAATTTGAAAGGTCGTGTATGTTGTGCTACCTTTCGTTCAGTCCTGCTTTATGGTTGTGAGACCTTGAATTTGCGAGTAGAAGATATCCGTCAACTAGAAGTCTTCGATCATCGGTGTTTACGCAGTTTAGTTCACGTCGGATGAAACGAACGGATTAGTAACGTGGTGGTAAGCCGTCGTGTGTTTGGGAGTGTCAGATATAAACCTGCCAGCATACCGAATTCAGATTGCTAGGCTTCGCTGGCTAGGGCACGTATTGCGTATGCCCAGCCATCGTCTGCCCCACCGCGCTTTATTCGCTGTGGCTAATCCGGGCTGGAGGAAACCACGTGGAGGTCAACGGATGGAGACGAGGCTTGAAGAAATGCATCGAGCCACTAGGTAGAGTAGGTGTTTCTTGCCTTCCATGTTGGGATCTGAAAGACTCCACGACTGGTTGGTCGGATACATCGAAGGATAGGGCAGCGAACCGGCAGCAGTGGCATTCTTGTTGTTGTTTCTTATCAGGTCAGAATGCTTGAAACGGTATGTATGCAGAGTTCGATTGTGTACCCTGTGTTGACGATAGTGGCTTATCTTCTCCCTCCCTTCAAATCGAGGTGGACTAGGGAGTCCACGATCCTATAGGAGCCGGTGACTGGCCGACCAGTTCACACGCCTTTCGGGGTATCCATATTGCCCTTGATTCGCACACTTGCCGTGGTCAAATCCAAGGTTAACTTTGTAGACCTGGTGGGTGGCGCCGAGGATTGGTACCTGTATGAGCTTCTTACTCCAAGTGTGGGTGGTTCGGAATCAGGGTTTAGCCAACTACCAATGGTCAGTCAACCCGGCACTCGCTATTGCCCTCCCACCTTAGTGTTAAGACCACCACGAGAAGGCAGGGGTTAGATTTCCTACACAGAAGTTATTTGAGATGCTTGGTCGTTTGGGAGCATTTCTACAAGAGTTCGGGACGAATGGCCATTTCGGAGTCCGAGACACCCATTCCCGACCGTACTGAGGCATAGACTACGTTGATTGGGGCATTAGTTGCGCTTGTCCCTAAACGGGTTGTCACGGGGCGCGATGTTTGCAGAGGCAGGCAGCGGATGCAAACAAGTCAAGGACTATCAAACTAAGATTCGGCATGAGGGTATGAAAACCCTAACCAAGACACTGGTTCACATAGGTCCCATTGGGCTCGCTGGATGGAAACCCGGAGATCATGGTAATCCGTGATTAGAGATGCTGAGTGATATGGCTGGGTGTCGCAAACAGTGGCACTCGTGCATCTACTGATTATTCTGTCAAATCCAGTCCATATGAGTTCTCTGTCGTCTCCTTAACTGTACTCGGAATATTCTAATTTGCATTCTGCTCTCTGATCGAGATGGGTAGCCAAAAGACAGCAACCAAAAGCGTCGCATGACAATTCATGTCTTCAATGGCTGAAACAAACAAACAAAATTATTATTTTTATTATATGTATGGTTGAAAAACTTCTCTTGCTGTTATTGCGAGTACTGTTCCGTGATGGCGTTTTCGCTAGAATTGCGGATACTTAATCTGGAAACAAGGTGATATGCTGTCCTCTCTTCCACATCGATGTGTGAATTGACTTGCTCCTTTGTGTTCTTTCCAGATGCCTGGTAGTGTAAAAGTAAAAGTAATTTCCGCGCGAGATCTCCCGGTGATGGATAGGGCAACATTTCTGACGGATGCGTTTGTCGAGGTAAGCCAGTTTCACATGGTTACGATTTTCGGATGCTTTGGCAGATTTGTATTGGAAATATCACGCATAAAACAGAAGTCGTCCGCAGATCGCTTAATCCCTGTTGGAACAGTGACTGGTTTTGTTTTGAGGTATTGTTCCTCTCTTCTCTCATCTGATCAGCCTGTACCTTGTAATTGTTTTCCAGTTAGACGATCAAGCACTGCAAGAAGAGGCCTTAGTGCTGAAGTGAGTCCCTCCCATCTGTTTACTGTTTATTTTGGTAGGATCATGGATCATGATACGTACAGTGCTCACGACACAATCGGTCGCGTGTACTTTGACCTTAACCCGTTGCTCAGCCGTGGGCATACGCGATGTTTAAACGGCTGGTTCCCTATCTACGATACAATGCATGGTAAGATACCGGCCCTCTACCGTCGGTGATTTTCTAAACCTTCATCTGTCTGTCTAAATTCTATTTCAACTGCCCCCTCATCCGCTCGCCGTCACTACACCTGGGAAACCCA